GTGAGTGTACAGGTTCCAAAGAAAGGGTGTGGGGGGATACAAACCCTGGCTAGATGGGACTGTCAAACAAGCAGTATACATTGTACATTTCAGACCACGCTTTTGGAAACACTCATCTAAGGAATAGATTATATCCTGAAGGCCCCTTAACCCTTAGTTCACTGATTGGCCACTTCTGAAGATCCATGTCCGAGTTTTTAATCTCTGAAGAAGCAGACCATGTGTCTATTCCTTTTAATAAAGGTGTCAGCAGACAGATGGCAATGACAGATGACAGATGATGACATAGGACCCACTTGCATGGGTCGCTGAGGAGAGGAACCACGTAACTAACAGAAAGAACCCAAACTGTACTGAATGTGAGTCATGACTCAGGAATGGCCTGAAGTTATTTATATGTTTACGGTTATCTCCATCACGAATTAGAGACCTCCCAAAGCGAGAGCCTGCAGATGAACTCATAAAGCACCGTGCTGCATACTTTCTTTGTGATAAAATCATAGCATAGCAAATTCATAGCTACAGTTTGACGGCTGGCACAGCACCAAAGACAGCCTCAAAATGCCAGTGGAAACTACCCCTGATTAGCAGTCTGTATCATGAGGAAGGGGGCATCTGACAGTTTGTAAAGAGAAGAACCTGCAAGATGCCTTTGATGGGCACTGTAACAATGACTGAGTTGATGACAAAGAAAAAAGTAAAGAACATCCCAGGTAGACGGCCCCAGCTTGTGCAGCATAGGAGGTGGGAAAGAGCTGTTTCATTCACATTTCGCTCTAAAAGCAGATTCAGGGTGGAGGATGTGGCTTGGTATAGACCCGGAAACTTCTGTGCACATTCCATCGCCTGGCCCACTATGTGCAACTAGAGTTAGAGAGAGCAAGCCAGAAACAAATGGCTACCTGTTTTTACTCACCCCTCCCCCAAAAAGCAGATGTGTTGGGCGTATAATTTACACATCATAAAATTTATCTATTTCACCTCAGTGGTTTTCAACAAACCTGACCCAGTTGTTCTTCCAGTTGCCTCTGTTGCCGTGCTAAAATACCCCAACGACGAGCAGTTTTGGGGGAGAAATGCTTAATTTCAGTTCACAGTCCCAGCTTACAAACCAGCATTGCAAGGGAGTCACAGGGGCAGGGACTCCAGACAGCTAGAACTCCAGGCTCACGTCACATCCACAGTCAAGGGCAGAGAGAAACGAATGCATTCATGGTCACTTGCTTGTTTGCCTGCTGCTCAGCTCTCTCCTCCTCCTCTTACACAGTTCAGGAGCCAATGCCTAGGGAATGGTGCTGCCCACAGTGGGCTGGGTCTTCCCAAAGCAACTACCTCAATCCACCATGACAACCCCACTCACTGACACATATATGCCCACAGTCAACCCATTGTGGAGGGTTTCGCTGACTGAGACTCTTCCCAGGTTCCAGGTTAGTCATGTTGATAAAGCCAGTCTATCACAGTTGCTAGCCATCATCATAAAATCTGATCACACCTTCAGCTCCAGGTGGCCACTAATCAACTTCTAGCTCTATAAATTAGCTTGCTCTGTGTGTTTCATATGTAAGTGGCTTACAAAATCTTACTGTATACCACATTGTATTTATCCCCTTTCCAGTTAGTAGACACTCGATTGCTTTTTCATCCTCATAAATAATGCTGATATCATACTTGCTTGTATGTCTTTACATGGTTATAAGATTCCATTTATCTTAGTGAGGTGCCTGTTTACCAGTCAAATGGTAAATTTGTTGTTTAAGAAAGAATCAATTTTCCTTTCAAATAAAAAATTAATTGACCATAATTATTAACATATTAATGAACTCTTAATGCTGTCCCATATGACCTTCTATATGTTAATATGATACTTTCTTCATTATTGTAGGTTAAAGTAAGTTTTGAAAAAGAAAAGTAGAAAGCATCCAAATTGTTCCTTTTCAAAACTGTTTTGATTTGGGCTGGGGAGATATCTTGGTGGTTAAGAGCTTGTACTACCCTTGCAAAGGTCCTGAATTCAGTTTCTAGCACCCATGACTGCCTGTCATGGATCTGATGCCATCTTCTGGCCTCTGTGGGTACCTGCACCCACATGCACATCGTGGACATAGACATATAATTAAAATTAAAAGTTTCTCTTGGACGTTTGTAAGATAATATTACTAGTTTCTTCATGTAGTAGACATAGTCAAGACATTCACACCAACTTTAACTCATATGACACCATTTGAAAATAAGAAAATTGTCTTTTCCTGTGTTCTTTTTGAAATTCCCTGAATGTGACCTGAATAAAGGCTATCGCTGAGTTGGGCCAGAAAGGATTATTTGACTCAGAAGATAGACACTGCTCCTTCTTAAACACTATTTTCTCTCTGTCTTTTGTTAGTCAGGTATACTGATCTTTCCTTTAATAGGACAGTTCTATTATTAAGTAGATATAATGTTTGTCTGTGTATTCTATTTTATCTCTAAAATTTCCATATATATCATATAGAATAACAGTTTATATGTTTCTGCTGTTTATAAAACAATTGTCATTTAAGACAACTGGGCTATGGTTACAATTGCTGGTTTTTAGTTTTATCAATCTTTTTAACACCTAGGTATCTCAATATTGTAACCTATTGGCTACCTTTTACCTGAAGAATTGCTCATAGTTTATTGTTTACTTGTGTTACTCTGTATGTTACATTTTTATTGTATAATGGACATTTTGAATATTGGCATTCAAGATTTTGTTTTTAAATTCTTTGTTGAAGGATGAGCATTTTTAATAAAACTTGGTTGCATTTTTCTTCTACAGGCACGTCCTTCTTCTCCTCTGAGCCTTTAGCAGGGGTCCCCACGTCAGCTCAGTTTCAGAAGGCCGATGTCCACTCTGTATTGCCCTCACTCACATCGCTTGAGGCTTAGCTGGGGCTCTGGGTCGTGGGCAGTGGTTTGCATTTCAGTTTAGTTCTCAGAGCACTTGCTGCATTTCTCCTTTCTGCACGTGTGCACTTCCTGGGTGAGCCCAAGTTCCTCTCTGAAACTGACTGCCCCATTTTTAATCTTACCATAATACTTCAAATGGCAACAGCTGACCTAGTGTCGAGGGGATGCTGGTGATAATGGTCCTCCACTTTCCATGCCAGTCTCACGCCTCAGAAGCAGCATCCTGGGGAGGTTGGCTTTCAGTTCTTCGGTTCACACTTGATTGATCCTCTAAGTCACTATTCTTCATAGTTAAACAATAGGTCCCATCCCACTCAATGACAATGTCTTTCGTCATTCATTCCCTTCTTCTACTTGTGTTTTGTGATATTCAACATGCTGAAGCCTATATCTGGGTATGCCATTTTCTTCAGTTCCTGTGTCACATGGCGGGCCCCTCCGTACTAGGACTTTGTCTCTCGGCTTTCAATTCCATCTTCCAAGAGCAGCTTTTAGAACACTGTTGGCGGGTGTGCTTCCAAAGAGTCATTGGAAAAATTCTAAGAATCCACAAGGTAGCACCTACATTGCTATAATTATATTGTCCAAAATCAGGATAAACCATAGGTTAAGAGCTCATGGCCTCTTTGAAGGTCTTAAAGTCAGACAATCAAAGATTGCTAATAATATCAAGAGAAAATGATTTCCTTAACTCTTGCCCCTTGGTGCGTAAGGTTGTGCTATACTTTTGTCTGTATTTAAATGATTTTTGTATGCTTTAGGTTTACATGTGTGTGTGTATCCCTATCTGTATGTATTTTCAGGATTCCTATGTCTTTACCCTCCACCCCCCATGATTTCCTGCTGGTCTGACTGCACACAGCTATTCCCTGGAGATTTCTTTCCTGCTCTTGGACTGAATCCTGCCTCCTAGAGTTTCTTGTTGCTCTTACTTGCTTTGCTCCTTCTTTTTGCTGGAGAACATTTCCAAGCTTCCTAAGCCAGGATGAACTGGAGGGAGATGCTTCCACTTAGGGAGATGATTTTATGTTTAAGTTGCCCTTTGATTTGACTCATGGTTTACTGGTGTTTAGAATCCTAGATTGGGGTTTTCTTCCAGAACTTGGAAAAGGGTGGCCCGTTGCCTTCTAGTGGGATGGTTTTCCCAGCAAGGGAAGTGAGGGCTTGGATGATGCAGTCCATAGCCCATGCATTTTTTTTTCTGTGAGGTTGAGTTTCTAAGGGTTTGTCGTTGCCATGGAGGGGTGGGGTAGGCCTCTGTGTTTCTGTAAACCCCTATGTTTTCACACTTGCCTCTCAGAGATGTTGACTGTGGTTGACTTCTATGTTGAAAGCACAATCTCCTCATAGCTCTGAGAAGGCAGCAGCTTGAGCCATGGTTCTCAAGTAGTCTGCATCCAGCCATGATGCCATCTAGAATCTTAGGGATTCTAGGTGTATGTACAGTTTTTGAAAAGTTTCCCTTTTCTTCAATTAGTTGTTCAATTCTTTTACTCTAAACTAAATTATATATATATATCTTATTATATGTTATATATAATTAGTATACATATAATTATATATTTGTAACATAGATAACATTTACAATATATAATTATATATGATATGTATATGATATAACACATAACATTTGCATTTATATACTATATAATTATATATGATATGTAATTATATATAACATATAATAAAATACATATAATTAGTTTAGAGTGAAGAAATTGGATAACTAATTGAAGAAAAGAGAAACTATATATATTACATAAATTATATAAAATATGTCCACATCATTATATATATGTATGATTACATAATATATAATTATATAAAATATATAAATAAATAAATTTTAGTTTAGAGTGAAATACTAATAAGAGAGAGAGAGAGCGAGACACAGAAAGAGAGAGCCCCAAAGTTACCCGTGTAGGAAGGGTAGTTAGTTAATGCAGGACAGAAGTGTCCAGATGAACATGTGGTACACACAATGAGCAGTGGTGGCTACGGGGCTCCCTCTAGTCAATACTGTCTGCACTGCCTTTTGCTCCTCACTTCCTACTGTTGATCTTTTTCAGCAGCAGAAATTACAAGGGTGTCCAACAAAGAAAACCAAATCAAGGAAAGTAGATCCCCTCAAAGGCCAGAAGGTCGTTGCCAGATGTGAGGAGAATGGCTTCTATTTTCCAGGTACATTTTTCAGACTCATTTGCTAAGCAACCTGATCCTGGGGAGTAGAGGGCTCAACCCGAAGTTTCCCTAGAACACTGATGTTTCGTGAGCTTGACTAAAGATATTCTGCTTCTCAAGCAAAAACTGGTTCTTTCTCATAGGTGGGGCAAAGGAGTAGTAGAAAATAACATTTCTTTTAATCTCTCATTTGTATAGAGAACACATTTCTGTTACAACTACTATGTTGCATATATGTATAATATTCCGAACATGCCAATCTATATTTATTTATTTTATTTGTGGGGGAGGGGTGGACATATGTGCCATGGCATGTGTGTGTCCGGAAGGAATCAGAGAACAACTTGCCACAGTCGGTTTCCTGTTTCTACCATATGGGTTCTGGGGATCAAACTCAGGTCATTGGGCTTGGTCACAAGCACCTCCCGAGCTTCCTCACCAGCCCTGGAAGTACCCATGTAATATGGTGAACAGACACGTGGATATTCTTGTCTTCAGGGATGCTGTTTCTTACCAAGGGCAAGGGCATCACCAGATAAACAGTAAAAATACTTAACATGGTAGGTATAGTACCATAAGGGGAAAACCAAACCACAAAGAGAACCGTGTCACGGAGAAGGTTGCGATTCTAAATATAGTGCTTACGGAAAGGCTCCTGGGGAGCATGACATGATTAGGACATAGAGAAGGAGGTGCCACCATTAGATTACCTGGGAGAAAGACTCGAGGCTCAAATGCAAGAAACCCATTTCAGGGGAAGCAGACTAGCACACTTGACTGGAGAGATGTTCCTAAGACATCCTGCGAGATGTGATTCCTGAAGGAACCAGCCAGATAAACTCAGCGGGGAATGGAGGTGTGAAAAGGGCTTTGTAGACAGCAGAAATAATACCTAGCAAGAGCTAGGGAGTAAAGATTCTGTGTCTGGAGATAGAAAAGCAACTCTGGTTGGCACCGGGAACACCGGAGAGCAGTGAGAAATAATAAAGCTTTCTTAGTCAGGGTCACTCTTGCTGTGATGAAACACCATGGCCAAAAGCAAGTTGGAGAGGAAAGGGTTTATTTGGCTCACACTTGTATATCACTGTTCATGGCTTAAGGAAGGCAGGACAGAAACTCAAACAGGATAGAAACCTGGAGGTAGGAACTGATGCAGAGGCCACAGAGGAATGCTGCTTACTGGCTTGCTCTTCTTGGCTTGCTCACCCTGCTTTCTTATAGCACCCACACCCACAATGAACTGCTCCCTCCCACATCAACCACTAATGAAGAAAATGCCTGCCTACAAGCTTGCTTACAGCCTGATCCCATGGAGGCATTTTCTCAGTAGAGGTTCCCTCGTCTCAGATAGTTCCTCTAGCTTGTGTCAAGCTGACATAAAACTAGCCGTCACAAAAGCTTTCCAGGTCGGTAAGCCTGGGGTCGCTCACAGCAGGCACTTCTGAGCAGTTTGCACTTTGCTCTCAGGGCATCAGAAAGTTATGTTTAAAGCCAGGAGAGGGGCTGGAGAGACGACCCCGCGACCTGGATGAAAAGACAGGGATATGTGCTCAGGATCGCACTGAGGGTGCCTGCAAGGTGCCCAGCAGAAAACGTTAGAGAAGCCTCTGGAGTCTGGAAAGGGACTCTGGAGGCAGAGAGTCTGGAAACAACCACGTAAGGAGTGCCACTGAAACATGGGAAGGGCGAGCAGGCAAAAGATGACTCTGGAGAAGCCTGGAAGGAAGAGCCAATTAAAATGCAGAAGCCTCACCATTCATCAACAAATGCAATTAGATAATCTCTGTACATCGTGAGAAGTGAATTCGGCAAAGCATTTGGCTACAACTATGGACTAAGATGTCTTCTTTGAAATCCGGAAAATGAACTTGGAGTTTAGTGGACAGAAAGATATAGAACTAGGCTCTGAAATAGCTCACAGGCCGAAGCATGAAAGTGCTGTGCCGGATCAGTGGTAGGGTGGGGATGGGAAGCTCCCCTTGCTTGAGGTTGGGGGGTGGTCACAGGAGGCCCCTTCTGGGGAGGCATCTTGACTTTCTCAAGGTAAGCCATGGAGAGGATCCTAAGTGAATCTGCAGTTTAAGTGGAATGTACAATGGGTGTACAATGTACAATGGGCATTCCAGATGGGTGGCTTATAGAGTAGGGTTTGATTGCTGGCCAGGACTCTAGGAAAATGAAGAATGGCTCAGACTTCCCCAGCATCACTGCTGTGTGTGTCCAGGCTGGGGGAACAGAGAGACAGGGTTAACGTCATAGCCACCTAAAGTCCCTGAGACCATATGGCAATTTGTTCTTAAACGTGCCATCGGAGCCAGTAAGCGTCCTCATAACTGCGTGTGAGCTGCCTGAGAGAAACATTTAAATTTGTTGCAGCTGTGATTGAATTCAAATATGTTGATGTGGAGGAAGTAAACATTTGAATTTAGTCACAGAACCAGTCATTTTGATCTGTGGCTTGTCAGTAAACATTAACGCCACCAAATTCAGTGTCAGTCTGTGGGGCCGGTTGGTGGGTAAAGCACGTGCTGTACAAGCATGGGGACCTGACTTGAGGTCCCCGGAACTGCCACTAAGTCAGGCGCAACAGTGCCCATCTGGAATGCCGGCACTCCCACAGGGAGATAGGAGACAGAGGGGAAGTTCATGGCGCAGCTCCCCTGGCGTGGATGGTGGTGAACAAGAGGCTCTCCAACAGGGGATAAAGGGTGCACATTGTTAGCGTTTGGAGTTGAGGTCACAGCCTGCTGGATGAACTCACAAGTGTAGGTAGTGTGCTGAACAAGTGGCAAGGGTTTGCTAACAGCCCGCTCTGTCCTGGGAGAGGAGTTTGCAAGGGATAAGGAGAGGAGCAGCTCCTGAGGGTGCCCTCAGACCTCTCCACATGTGTGCGCCGGCATTCACCCACACAAACAAGTGCACTGCGCAGGAGAGTTGGAGATCACGGACTTTGTGCCTTTCCACCCTTCAAAGTCAATGGATCTTTTTAAAATTGGAGAGCCTGTAACTTTCCCTCCAGAGTCTGTTTTTCTTAAAAAAAAAAAAAACAAAAACAAAAAACAGTAGAAAAGTTATAAGGAAAATGGAGAATTCTTAAATTCACTCTACCCAGATTTGCTAATTTTTAACATTTTGTCACATTTTATAATGTGAGTCTTTTACTTTTTCACATTTTCACTTTCCTTTCCTACACACAGACATGCACAGACACACACTCAGACACACATACAGAGAGACACACACTCAGACACACATACAGAGACAGACATACAGAGACACGCACACAGAGACACACACACAGAGACACACACAAACACATACACACAGACACACACACACAGACACACATACAGAGACACACATATACAGAATACACAGACACACACATAGAGACACACATACAGAGAGAGATACACAGACACACACATAGAGACATACACACACAGACAGATACACACACACACAGACACACACACACAGACACACACAGAGACACATATACATACACAGACAGACAGACACACACCCCTTTTCTAAACTGTTAGAAGTTAGACAGCACTCATCACAACTCTACTTGAAACGTCAGGCACTCACCTAGTAGAACCACCATGAGCATGGCCTTCAGGGACGCTGACATCACCGTACACCTTCATGTGCTTCTGCCTTTGTCACTTGCCAGCCAGTGCCTTCCACTTTTTCTTTAGTGCAGATCCTAATCCAGAGCCACATGTTACATTTGGCTAACATGACCCCTTAGTGATTTCTTTTTTTAAATAGGGTCTCACTATGTAGTTTTGGCTGGCTTAGAACTTGCTTTGTAGACCAGACTGAGCTCAAACTCACAGAGATCTGCCTGCCTCTGTCTCTGAGTGCTGGGATTAAAGGTATGTACAGCCACCACACAACACTCCTAAGTCTAGAATTTTGTTTTAACCTTTTCTGTAAACGTTCATGATGCTAACGTTAAAAGCAAGGGCAATTGAAGGATGGCCTTACTCAGTCTGATTTAGCTCACAGTCAATATGTGCATTCTTTCCTACCAGACAACCTGGGTGATATCACTCAGGTGCCATTCTGTCCAGAGGCACATGATGTCCATCTGTCCTCTAAGTGGTAGTAATTTGGACCATATGGTTGGTATGAGTTTGCAATATCTCTTTTTTTTAAAAAAAAAAAAGGGGGGCAAATTGGTTTTAATAGACAACTTATTGGTGACTCTTTCTGGTGGCTGTTGTTCTAAACCTCCTAATCTTTCCTCAAGCAAAGGTCTGATTGAAATTCTGTTAGCAGCAGGCAGCATTGCAGTAGTGAGCTGGGTGCCCATTGCCTGAAGACGGATCTACACTGGTGCACACTTAGCCTGGCTGGGGTGCACTGGTTTAAACAGACATGTAGGGTGCGCTGACCTAAACAGGCATGTGCCGTGACTGAGCACAGACCACAGGGTGGAGCAGACCGGCTGCCGTCATCTCATCGGGTGTTGTTTCTCTTGATTCCTCCAGGGGTCGTGAAGAAATGTTTGAGCCCCACCCATGCACTGGTAGACTTCAGGTACGGAGAAACCAAGGCGGTGCCCATCTCCTTCATCACACCTGTTGGGGGCGCTATGCCCTGCCCGCAACTGCAGGTACCTACTCTCTGGTTCCTTCTGGGACCCTTTTATACACGTGGCTCTCAAGCTGTAGGTCACAGCCCCACAAGGGTTGCCAAAGACCCATCGGAAAACCCAGATATTTAGATTATTTTATTTATATTATGATGCATAACAGTAGCAAAAGTACAGTTATGAAGTAACAATGAAAATAATTTTATAGTTGGGGGTCACCACAGCATGAGTAATTATATATTAAATGATCACAGAATTAGGAAGGTTGAGAACCACTGCTTTATTCTGTCCACAGCGTTTTGGATTACAGAGGATAACAGAGGTCCCTATGGCCCTCTTGGGCTCCTGTAGGGAGCTTGTGATTGGGCAGGAAGAGCAGTATCCAGTTTCTTTCCCCATCACTTGGCAATTTCTCTGTCACTGATTGCCAGGTTCCTCTTAATGTAGCTGGCCACTGTGTATAGTGGCTTATATATCTTGTGATACTTGTCACAAGGGGGCAGGAAATTGTGTGGCTCCTAGTGCTCCTGAAGCTTTCTCTGCAGAAGACTGCATTTTCTTACATGTACTAAAGACAGAGCGAGGGATTTCTGTGACCCTGCAGTCAGCCGCCGCCAACCTGTGATGTCATAATGCAGTTCCCCCAAGTGTGTGTTCCACAAATGAGACAGACGAATATGCTCTCATCTGATTGTAAATGAACAAGCACTATACCGTGTCTGGGTCATCCACCAGCCACTGTCTTGACACCAAGATGGGGCAGAGGGCCAGGCAAAAAGGAAAGCCTTTCAAAGCCTCAGGGCTGCTGTTCCTTACATGAGCCCGTTTGCAGAGCCATCTATACCTCTGGGTGACCTTTCCCATGAACTCCACGTCTGTGCTGGGACTAATGGTCACCAAACCCACTCTTTCCTTTTGTCTGGGGAACAGCCCTTCTAACACTGAGGACACGCCCACCATTTCTTTATATCAAACCCCCTAGATGCTCCTTCAGCCCCAGTCATTGTTTGTACCAATTTCTTTAAGTTTCAGAACCCTAACCAGCTTGCTGACTGTCCCAGGACCCTTGTCAATTGCCAAACTCCTACCAAAGCTGGGTTTTTCAAAATTGTAGGTGTAGCCCAACAAACTCAGAGAATTCTGGATCTCTTTCTTATCTGATTTTTTTAAAGCTCTATATCAGAATTTTATCACCAGTACCTGCCAGTAATCAGGAGTTATTGTGAAACAAGCTTATATTAAATTATGTATGAGCTCTGTAAATAAATTATTTGCTGTGAAACGTGATTTCTGCTACAGGTTGGAGATTATGTGTTTGCCAAAATCAAGACAAGCAAAGGATTTGACTTCTATGTCCCCGCCATTGTCATAGCACTTCCAAATCGGGATGTGGCTTCAGAGAAATTCTACACAGTTTTGAAATGTAACAACCGCAGAGTAAGTGTCCACCCAGACAAATGCCTTCTCGCTAGGCCGAGGATGGGTGGGAGCTGAGGGAACACAGTGTCTACTCCCCTACCCACGCATCCCTGTGGTCTGGACCCTGTTCCTGCTGAGAGCACTGTGCTCTTCTTGCTTCTATATGGGAGAGTCATTTGTTTTTCCTTCTCAAACTGCAATTGACAGCTAAACAGGTTTACTCTGATTGTTCTCGTTCTTTCATTCTCTCTCTCTCTCTCTCTCTCTCTCTCTCTCTCTCTGTGTGTGTGTGTGTGTGTGTGTGTGTGTGTGTCTCATGGAATATATGTATCTGTATGCATGGTCAGATTGTGGAAGCCAAGGGTTACCATCAAGTATATTCCTCCATCACCCTCCACTTTATTTACTGTTGCTAAATCTGGTACTCGCCCATTCAGCCAGTCTAGCTAGCCAGTGATCCTGTTTCTGCCCTTGATGTACTGGGATCAGAGATGGGCTGCCATGCCTATGCAGCTTTTACATGGTTTCTAGGGATCCAAATTCTGCTCCTGTTTGCATGACAATCTGTTTACCCTCTTAGTTACCACCCCAGCCTCAGTACCACTCTGTGTGTGTGTGTGTGTGTGTGTGTGTGTGTGTGTGTGTGTGTGACCTCTTGTTCTTGCCTGTGCTCCTCTGGAAGCGCTGTAAATACAGGCATCTCCTGGGCCTTTCTCAGCCTTGTCTTCCTCTGCCACCCCATGATCTGCCTGTTGGATGAGCATCCCCAGCGCACAGTGCTGCTTGAGAAAATCTACAGGGGCAAAAGAAAGTCAGGGGCATGAGAAGTGATGTCCTGAGGCATGGCTCCGGGACAGGGAGAGATGCACAGCAGATGGTCTGGGGTCCCTCAAGAAAGGCCTCAGATTCCAGAGAGTTGACTCTCAGGGCAGGAAGTCCCTAGGGGGCCAGAATACTGTAGTCAGGGGAAAGGACATCGAAGATTCTCATAAAGATTCTGGGAAACCTCACAAGGGAAAACAGGGTTTTCAGCAACAGGGTCATGGTCACAGCTATCTAAAACCAAGATACCCGAGGTTGCAAACCAAGATAAAAAGGTGCATGCGTGTGTGTACATGTGTGACTGACCTGGGTAGACTTGGCAGGTGACGTAGAATTTAGATGAATGACTGAGGACTTAACAATGACTTACTCGGCAAAGAATTATAAAGCAATGTGAATTTAGCCTGCTCTCTTGCGTGGCACCCCAATGGGATAATGATTACTGGCGCTGTCAATGACTTGAGCTGGAATAAACTTGTTCATGACTTGGGGGCTTCTTGGGTTCAATGGCTTTTTTTTTTTTTTTTTTTGGTGTGATTACAGGAATTTTGCCCTCGGAGTGCACTTATAAAGATCAGCCAAAACAAGTATGCTGTCTCTTGCTCTCACATAAATTCGTCCCAGGTTGAGAAGGCTCAAGCAGTGTGAGTACACCCAGCTTCCTACTGAGAAGCTTTTTTGCACCCCGATTAACCTCTCTGTCGATGCAATAATCCAAATCAGACCAAATCAAACCAAATTAGGGAAAGCCCAGGTTTAATGGATACCAGCACTCTGGGGTAGCCTTTCAGCACCTCAGAGAGGAGATGGGGAAGAAAGACCAGAAAACCACATGTTTGTTTTCGGGGGTGGAGGGCAGTTTAAATACCCTATGGGAGTGGTCTTGAGCATCTTTAGGGATGGGTCATTATTTGGTGGGCTTTCTTGAAGGTGGAGTCTGGACTGAGGCAACTCCCAGGGGAGCGGGCTTGGGCTGGAACTTCCTCCCAAACATTCCAGACTCTTTGGGTATATGAATGCCAGGAGCTGGGGTGACGTTTCCACCCAAATGCCCACCTCTTAAATATCAGCTTAAATCTTTGCACCTTTATTCTGTTGCTGAGATCTACACCTTCTGAGTACAGGTAGAGACGGAAGCCTCGGTTCTGTGAGCATTAGCCAATCCGTCTCCTTCCATTGAGCTGCTGTTTGTCACTCCATCTGGCTCTAATCTCAGAGCCAACATTGTTTTCACTGGCCCTTCATAAACACATTCAACCCTGCCATGAAAAAGAGGTGATTACGCCACTTTGTATGTAAGAATTCAAGGCCTTCTATTTAAACCTCACTTGGGAACTGTCGCCTAACTGTCCCTTCCATATAGGTGCATTTAGTAGGGAGAAGTGAGGTACTGAAGCGGCTTACCAGAGGAGTATGTTGGGGTGATTTGGGGTTCCCAGGGCCTACACTGGGGTGAACAAATCTCCACCTGAAGCAGTAGAATTACTGAGAGATGTGCAGGCAGACTGGCCCAGTGTCGACAGGAAAAGACTTGAGGCCTGAAGAGCAGGTAAAACCCATGTCCATGCGGCCAGCAAGAGCAAGGGTGAAGTCACAGCTTGGAGTTAAAGGCACCTAAAGAAGTAAATGTGGGGTTTGAGCAAGGGCTGTAGTAGGGGATTCAGGAAGCACCTTCCACTTTCATAGAGTGAATGTGTTGTTTTGGAGAGTGAACCTTTTATTTTATTTTGGGGGTAGCCTTTAGCCTTCATTCACCTTCATTACAGAAACAAAACATCTTGTATCCCCCAGTTTGGGGCATGTGGGACTCTTAACCTTTCTCTGTGATGTCAAAGAACATTAGTGTGTCTCATGTAATTGAAAGCTGGTCTTCCCACCCGCTCTGGAAGCCCATTCCTCCATGTCCTGGGTCCTGACACTGAGGGTGACCATTGTGTTCCACCATCCTCTTTCCTTAGCTTCCCCCACTCAGAGGGAAAACAAGTTTCCCCTGCATTCGCCCACAGAGTGTCCAACTATGTGCCTGTACACATATCCCTCCCCCCATCTCTCACCGCTCTCTCACCGCTCCCTCCTCCTGGAGCTGTAGTGTGATTAACTCACACTTCCCTTCTCTGTCAGTCTCTTCTGTAGAGTTGGAGAACCTTGACTCCATTTAGCTCCCTCCCTGAATGTTGATATCAGTTTTCCCCATACCCCTTACCAGAAAGGGATTTCAGGCCAGCTGAGACCCCAGACCTGTCCCAGGCCTCAGGCATTGCCCACCCTGGCCATGCTTACTCTTGGGATTGCCCTTGACGCATGAACCTGCCCTCTCAGGCCTGCTATGGCTCTGTAGGTTTCCTCTCTGCCTGATTTTACTCACACCATTGCTTCCATGGTGCCACTCACACCAAGAACCCTGTGTCTCTTTCTCTAACCCAGTCTTTGGCTCTGCTTAGGAATGGACCTCCAGCGAGCCCTTATGAAAGCTGCCCACGTGTAAGCAATGGGCAGCTGTAGTAAATAGCTACAATGGAGAGGAAACTTTAGAAACAGTCTTAGCTCCATATCCTGCCCCACCTATGGACCAGAGGTCTAAGATAGGACTGTCTGTGGCTATGCTTGTCACAGTGTAGGTATTCTACGCCATGGAAATTGCACTATTCCCAAATGCCCACTGGTGTGTGTGTGTGTGTGTGTGTCTGTGTGTGTGTGTGTGTGTGTAGGTGTCCATGTGTGTGCATATGGAGGCCACCAGAGCATGTTGGGTGTCTTCCTCTATCACTTTTCCACTTTGTCTTTAAAGACAAGTTCTCTCACTGGCTGACTAGTGAGCTCCCAGAATTCCCCCAGTCTCCACCCCCCAACACTAGGGTTGCAGGTATGTGTAGCTATGTCCAACTTCTATGTAGTTGCCAGGAACTTGAACTTGTCTGCTTGCTTTCGCAATAAAACCATTTCGCTAGCTTCCCCCTGACTCTTTGCACCTGCCATCATTCCAACTCAATGCATACAGACCGAGCTTGTACCTCAAGCCTGCGACTCCCAACCCTGGGCTCCTTGTCTGGGTTCCTCTTCTTCCCAGGAGTCATGGAATTGTGCAAGCGGGCATCTGCTAGTCAGTTACCCATCCCATCTGTCTCCATGTTATTGCAATCCAGGCTTGGAGATAGTTTGCAGCTCTGTGGAGGCTCAGTGCTTTAGGCAGGAACACCGAGTTGCTCCCATCTAGGCCTGCCAACCCAGGCAATGCAAATGGTTCTTGTACTGTCTCCCTCACTTAAAAACCCTCAGACCTCACCACCATCTGGGTTCCTCTTTCCTGTCTTACCCTCTCCTATGTGTGGTGTAGCCTGTCTCCCAGCCCTCCAGGGCATACTAACTGCTTCCCAACGCCATGCTTTCTCAGGTCTCCGTGCTTTGCATAAACTGTGTGCTACAGTCTTAGAACACTATTCCTTAGCCACCTGAGAAATCCTAATATCGGACACCAGCATCCCCACTACCATGAAATGTCCTGGTACCTAGCTAGCTTCTCCAATGTACTAAAGTGGTCCCACCACATCTTCTATAGGTTTTCATGATAGAAAATGTCCCTAGTGCTAGACTGTCTCAGTCCACTTTCTGTTGCTATAACAAAATGCCTAAGGCTAAAGAACTTTTCAAAGAAGAAGAAGAAAAAAAGATGTTTATAGTTCAGTTTTGAAGGCTGGAAGTCCAAGGTCAGGTGACTCCATCCACTTGGCCTCTGGTAAGGGCCTTTCTGGTCTTGTTAGGACATAGTGGATAGTGTCCTGAGAGTAAAGGGTAGTAACACAGAGAGACAAGGAAACTAGAGACTATGGAGGGGTTTGACTTATTCTTGTATGTCAACTTGCTCACTTCAGGAGACCCCAGTAATCTCTTAAAGGGGCCAAGTCCCCAGTAACCTAATTGTCTCCTACTGGGACTCACCTTTTAAAGGACCCATCATCACCTCTCCATATGGCTATACTAAAGATCAACCCTACATACAGCATATGAACCTTTGGAGAGAAACATTTTTTAAATTCTAGCCCATGATAAAGGAATATGAATAATTAGTCTAGGTATTGACTATTTTCACTGAACTCGGCATTATCGTTAATCATTTTTTAATTAAAATCCATTCCTTTCTGTATGAAGGAAAAACCGTTGTGTCTCACATTCCCTGGGCCTTATTTACATCTCTCAGCTGCTAATTATCCACTCTCACCTCGAGGGCTTCACACAGGAGATATGTTCATTGACTCTCTAATTTCCTTTCTCCTTTTTTTCACTCTCAGTGCCTTCCTCGGAGCAACAAACCGTGTTTAATTTTCCCAAGCAGGAGCCATCTTCAACCTGCTAATTCCAGAGCTTAATGAGTCTCTGCTTCCATAACCAGGGCTGAATACAAGAGTGCAGTATAGCTGTTTTCTAGTCTCTGCCTTCTTTGAGGTCTTCCCCTGGTACTTAATTCCCACTTGCCTCCTGTGCCACCATCACCTTGTGGATGCCTATGTGAGTCCTCCGGCCTGTATGCCAAGGAGGCCATTATGGAGAATCCTGATCCTCGTGTGTATGTGTCGTTAAAGAAATGTACCCCAGGTCATGATTCTGACGGACTTTCTTTTCAGGTATTGACTCAGTTGTGCCTATCAATCCAGGGATGATCAGCCAGGGCGTGTCACCTCCAGTCACCTGGGTAGACCAGCATGAGCAACATGCTGGTGCCTGTCATCTCACCTTCTCTTCGTCCTTCTGGGGGCCTTCAGCTGTGACTAACAGAGTGCTCCCTGCAGATAGATCCCTCTCCTGGTACCCAGTGGAGAGTGTAACCAGTGAAAGATGTGGTGGAAACTGGTCAGAGGGATACTGAGATCAAAAGGGACCAACTAGAGTCTGTGCAGTCTTCTGTTTTCAACCAGTCTGGTCGCCTCTTTTAGGGTCCTGTTCCCTTCTATCAGAGGTCCGTGGCCTCTGCTGCAGGGGAAGGGGGCATCTGGTGGGTTTGATGCTCTGGCTTCCGGATTTCTCCCCTGAGGAAAATCCCCTCAGCCAGGTGTCACTTAGCTAGCTCCAGACCTGGGCGTCTGGCAGGTCTGAGCAGAGTCCACACACCTGGTGCCCCGTAGCTGGCTGCAAACCCCTCCAGCAGAGCTGGCGTCTACCTGCCCACTCGACAGAGCCAGGCCTGGGCAAGTCAGCCCTCTAGAAAGATGTTCTCTTAAGAGGCTTTATGATTTCCCAGTTATAATAACAACAATAGCAACAGTAGTGACAGTATTCCAAATGTGATTGTGGGAAAACCAAGTGGGACTAACCCATTTTCTTTGGGCTCCAGAAAAATCCATGGGATGGGAATTAAAAATCAGGCACCTGAGGGGAAGGGCTCGTCTTCCCTTGCTGCTCAATTGGCGCTGTGGGGTCTTGGGGACCCTCTTGTGTGTGAGACGGCCGAAAGGAAGACTTTCCCAGGCCTTGGAGGTGGTCGTTTGAGTCTGTGGTCAGCTCACTATTCCCTGTTGCACAGAACATTAGCATCCCATTGTCTCTCCTCTGAGCAGCCTGGTGACTTCCCATGGCTTTAGGCATATATTTCCGTGGGAGGGCCGATTCCCAAGCGACTTAGCCTCCTTCCTGGACAGTGCGGAAGAGCCTCACACTGCCTTCCCACAGCGGTGGAATGAGCTCATTGGAGAAACATCAAAGCCCAGAGCTGCTTCTGGCATTGTGTGAACACATCACTTCCCTTGCTCTGACGTAGTCGCTCCTGACAGAGCTTCCCTGGGAGCTAGCTGGGCGTCTCGTTATCCCTTCATCCCTGCAGTCAGATGAGAGCAAAAACTGTGTATATACATCTGCCTGTGCATATCCTATGCTGTCCGTAAGTACAAAGGCCATTTCCTACTTTCGAGAGAATGCTAGGGTGTCTTCAAGAATCAGAGACTTTCAGACCAATGGTATCAGCCTCTTGATCTTCTCCTTCAGTTGTCAATTCAGAGGCCTTCTGATCCCATGAGATATCTGTCTGGTGCCTATTCCTAAGCAAAAGAGACAATGTAGAAAAGAGGCCTCTGGGAGCCAGCAAGAGAGCCAGGGTATTGACAAATCTTGATCAACTGAATAGGTGGATTTTGAACCCAGAAAAAAATGTGTCATGGTTTCTCAACACTTTCTCCCTAGAAATGAGTCCTGAACCAGTTAAGACACGATGCCTGGCTCCTCATTCTATCCCACTATGTGTATCTGATCCTGTTTATCGAATTGCAACTTGTATTATTGTATATTGCATATTATCCCTAATCCCCAAATCTGAAATCCAACATGTTCACTGTCTTAGGGTTTTATTGCTGTGAAGAGAAACCATGACCAAGAAAGCTCTTATAAAGGAAAGCATTTCACTGGGACTGGTTGACAGTTCAGAGGTCTAGTCCGTTGTCATCACGGTGGGACGACAGCGGGGCTAGAGAGGTAGCTGAGTGTTCTGGATCAGCAGGCAGCAGGAAGTGAACGCTACACTGGACCTGGCTTGAGCATTTTAGACTTCAAAGCCCCCTTGTGACTCACGTCCTTCAACAACACCGCACCTATCAATAGTGCCAGGTCCTGTGAGCCTGTGGGGTGCTTTCCGTTCAGACTACCACACTCAGAAAATTGATTTTTTTTTTTTAAAGAACAAACACGATACCATGAGTGAAAAGCCTCACACCTGGTTCAGGTGTCAGGCGGCAACCACAGTTCAGAGCCAGCAAAGGTATAGTATGCATCCGCTTACACAAGATGCATAGGGGTGTGTGGGAAACAGAACTGAACTCCATGTTACGACTCGGGACTCGGGTTCCATCTGCAAGGTGTCTCATGTATGCAAAGAATCCAAAACCTGGAACACTTCTGGTCCCAAATATTTTGGATAAGGGACATTTAACCCTGTATTCAATCAAATCTATAACCTAAAAACACTTAGTGCATTACCTAGTTTAATGCTTCTTTAGTGTGAGATTGGACTAAAGAAAGTCATTGAGTGGATCACATCCAGTCATGGTTATGGCTTATATCCATAGGGTCATGGCAGCCCTTTCTGCCTCCATAGTGGCTGTGGCCAAGAAACAGTGTAAGATGTAGGGGGAGGGCAGGAATAGGAGCTTGCATATCAGCCTACTGTGGAGGATCACCCTTGTAGATTGTAAGCCAATCTCCAGTTGATGATCTTCTGGCCTCCTTGGGAAGTGCACACACATGGTGCATTTAAATTCATGCAGGCAAAGCACTCATAAAATAAAAATAAGCAAATATTTTTAAAAAGTTTTCTCCTGGTCAGACCTTCTTGTTCTAGCCTTGACTACTGGTCTTATTTAGTTCTTGTTCCAAAAGTAATGCACAGCTAATATTACTTATAAATTAAAAGCAACTGGAAAACATTTTTTTTAAATTCACAACCTAACATGTCAAAAATAAGCACTGTGTTTTGGTGTGCACTCCTCTAGATTTTTTCATCTGCTGTGTTGATTCATGTTTTTCTTCAAAGCCAAAAGCGCTATTGTTTTTACTTATCATGTGTAACAGTTGCAAAACATTTTAAATGTAGGAAACATGGGGTTGGAGAGATGGCTCAGTGGTTGGAAGCACTAGCTGCTCTTTCAGAGGACCCAGGTTCCATTCCAAGGGCCCACATGGAAGCTCATCACTGTTCATATCTCTAGTCCCAAGGGATCTGACCCCCTCCTCTGCCCTCCACAGTCACCAGGCACATATGTGGTACACAGACATACAAATATCCATGCACATTAAATAAATAAATAAATGTAATTTCTTAAATGTAAAAAGGTGAATAACATATCAATTCTATTGGAATTCATTTCCCAGAGGCAACTGTTTCTAGTTTGCTTCAAGGTGTCTAGTCTTCTTTGCCTATTCACAACTCTAATAACAAAAATGAAAACATAAATATTCTCATTTGTAACTCTTTTCCCACTTACTAATATATTTATTACCTCTTTCCATAACAGTAGCCCCTGCTATTTCATTATTGCCTGCCTGAAATTACATTACGAGGTGACCTATAACTCATTCATAGGACTAAACCTTGTAAAAGCTATACATGTATTGCTCCTTGGCTCCCCCTCTTCCCCAGCTCCTGCAGACAGGTAGACAGATCTCTGCTTATGCTTTGAGTGCTTTTAACACATCTGGAAAACCTCTGCTACCCTTTACTTGGTGCTTGTCTTCCTAAGAAGCCATCTGTTATAAAACAAACTGATTCTAATGGATGGCCAGTGGAGAAAAACAAAATAGAACCAACTTAGCTTCAAGGGAAGCGGCAGCGTGAGCAACAGTGGACCTGGAGTAGGAGAGCTCAGATTTCACAGGCAGGTGTTCTTGGTGCAGTCTGGAGGTGTGGTCTCCATATCTCTAGGCAGGTGTTCTCCCAGAGAGCTGCATCTACACAAGCACAGACTTCACATGTGGGGGATCCAGGAAAACCTTTTTATTCTGTGTACTGCTACTGCTAGGGCCAATTTTTGTTTTTTGGTTTCTTTTTTTTTTGCCTCTCTCGGGAATTCCCTTCTAAGTCTTGTGCTAGTCTTTGAAAAATAACCACATGTGATACAATCTTGATCCATTACAGAGAGTAATTTGAATAATGGGATTTTCTGTTTGAAAATAACTAAGGGCCTTTTCTCAGCTCATATTTTTCTCTGACATTTTTTCCAGAAGAATTGGAAACAGTAATGATTCGAAGTTTTTCAGGGCAAAACCAAAACCCAAATGTTTCTGAGTGGAGGCAAGGGTGGTCAAGATGAGCCGTGTAGAAATGTGAAACAAAGCAGGGTTTAAACCCAGTTAAGTTTAAGGGTTTAAACTTAACACAGTCCGGAGGTCTGAAAAAAGTGAAATTGACGAATCAGTGGGCCACGATGAGTGGGCTAGAATGAAGTCATGGTGTTCCCAAGATGCTTTCTCGGAAGAAAAGCCAGCATTCCTTGATAAACAAGCTTCGTCCGGTGCATTTTCTAAATAAGTCTCTATCTATGACATCATAGGCAGACCTGTGCTTTTCCTATTAAATGTAATAAAAAGTCTCAGCGCTGCTGGCATTTGGGGTTTCTGATGTTGCATTGAGCTACGTAGTTTGAGAAATCTCAGCAGTGATAGACCTGGGCTGGCACATCTGTGGTGGCAAGTGGGCAGTGCTAAAGTGTGCGCTAGGGGCATCTGAGCTTGAGTTTGCTGTTTCTTCACTGACTGGGTAGGGACTGGGTACATGTGGTTATGTTTTCCCTGTTGTGTGGGACTCCTACTTATGGGCATGAACTGAATGGAGTTTAAGTCTAAAGTATCCAACACCTAGGGCAGCGGGCAAGGCTTAGAGACTTGCACAGGCATGAGCTGGAGATCTCGGCAGACACACTGTAGCAGTCAAGCCCAGGGTGTCTAAAATAAGCCTCAAGCTCTGCTCTCTCGCTCTCTCTCTCTCTCTCTCTCTCTCTCTCTCTCTCTCTCTCTCTCTCTAGGAAAGAAGTAGAGGCAAGCAAACCTTCCCAACTCTGGACAGTGATTGAAGAAGACACTGGAAAATTGAAACTATCGAGACAAGAGAACCTTAAAAAAAAGAAAAAGAAGCCCACCAAGAGGTCGCCTCTCAGGGAGATGATGTCCTCGGATTCAGATGGCTCGTCCCATGGCACCAGGTCCCCAGAGTCTAACCCCAAAACCTTTCATAAGCCCAGGGTGGGGGATTGGGAGGCACCCTGAACCTATAGGACACTTTGAAACCTCTTTCAAGAATAATATATGTGGGATCATTCCCCAGTTTCCGGGCCAGCGTAGGTCCCGGCCCAACAAAGCAGCCCCCATTCCCCCAAGTCATGCTGACATCCACTTTCCCAGAGAAGGTTCTCCACTCGAGGCCTAGGACACTGCCCACCTCGCCTTCGCTGCTCCACCAGCACCAGAAGCAGTCCTGCTCTGACAGATTCCAGCCATCCACAGCGCAAGGGGCTGAGGACCCATCGCTGAGGAACCCTAAGGCGTACACCCTAGTGGCAGCTAACTTTAAGCAAGCCACTGTTCCTCCAGGGCTGCTCAGATCCTAGCCTCTGGACCCTGTGGAGCAAGCCTCTCTTCTGAGGTAAGGCTTCCCTTCATTCCGATCAACGCCTTCCCTGTTGATGAGAACCAGCCAGAACCTGCTATTTGAGCTTAGGGATTTTTCTGGCCATCCCGTATCCCGCTTTTTCCCCAACACCACAAATTGTTCTCAGTCTTTTGATACACTCTGTCTACGTAGCAGCACTAGCTTGATGAGCTACTATCAGAATGTTCTCAGGGGTTTGGGGGAGTCCGTTTAGTTAGGCCCCACACCTACAATCTTGTTTTAAATTGGTTCTTCCTTGTGAGTTAAGAATGTTGTCACATAACATGAAGACTGAAATTAAGACCTGGTTGGTAGCTTGCCTGGGATCTGTAAGCCTGAGCAGTCTCTGTGTTACTGTTTTCTGAACATTTCTGTTGAGCCCTTCCTAATTGGTTGTGTCTGTAGTCTGTTGTAGGTACCTCTATTGAGTACAGAAGCTGAATAAAATCTTACATTGGAAACATTGCTCTGGCTGCTCCTTTGCTACTGTATTCTTTGAATGTTTAGTGCTAATGCAAAAGCATTCAGCTCTGCTCACTAACTTCAGGGCTGAAATAGCTCTCTCGAAGTCTCCTTCCTCCAGGCGGTGACAGTCCTCGGACTGTGAAAAACAAACAAGCAAACAAAATCCAGCACAGGTTATTAATAAGAAACAGGTTATTAATAAGAAAACAGGTTATTAATAAGAAACAGGTTATTAATAAGAAAAGAGAGAAAGAGTTCTGATATTCAGAGAGTAGACAAGCTAGTTAAACATGGTGTTCACATTCCTGAAAGCTAAAGTTGGAGAAATGAGAGGAGGCACCCACTTCTAAAATCATGGGAGAATGAGAAACATGAGCTCCGGCTTAAGCTGAATCCCATCAGAAAATGAGGATGGCGCTGAAGGCTGAAATGTGAGCAGAACGTGGGAAGCAGGCAGGGGAGCCTGTGGGAGGCCTGTTGCGCCTCCCCACCTTAGCCCCAAAGACAAAACTCAAGCCCTTGTTGGCAGGGTAGCCCCGAAGCAGCTTTCTTCTTCAGTCCTGAGAGAAAAGCCTGAGGAAGGGTGGTAGGTCCCTGCATTGGGAGCGCTGGCAGGGAAGAGGGACATCCTTCAGTCCCTGAAAGCATGGACACCCTCATGCATTTATTTAGTTGCTCAACTGAAAGCCAAGTACTGGCCGTGAGCCAGGCTTCAGGACAGCCGGTAGACATGGGAGGATGGCCGCCTCCTCCATACTCTATGTCCTCATCTTGATGTTCTTTTCTTCTCCTCCTCTTCTTTCTGCTGTGGGACAATGGTCTGTACCCTGTTAATTGTATTTTAATACAATGCTGATTGGCCAGTAGCCAGGCAAGAAGTAGAGGAGGGGCAACCAGGCAGGAAGTGGAGGCAGGGCGAGGAGAACGCGAGAATCCTGGGAACAGGAAAGAGTCAGTCTGCAGTTGTTACCCAGACACAGAGGAAGCCAGATACAGAGCAAGCAAGATGTGAGTGCCTCGCCAGAAAAGGTACCAAGCCACATGGCTAACACAGACAAGTATTATGGGCTAATATAAGTTATTAGAGTTAATAAGAAGCCTGATCTACTAGGCCAACCAGTTTATAGTTAATGTAGACCTCTGTGTGATTTCTTTGGAACTTAACAACTGTGGGAACCAGGCAGGACAGAAACCTCAGTCAACAGAATGGTGCCCAGCGTGACACCAGTCAACAATCTTCTTTTCTTACCAAACTTTGTTTCAATGGGTCACACAAAAACATTATTAAAAAAAAAAAAAGCCTCCAGAGAAGATATTGACCCTGTGTCAGGGAAGTCGCCAACCTCTAGTGGTTATATAAGCCAGGGAGGGTCTCAGCTCCTCTGTAGGTTGAATATCTAATATTTCTCTTAAACATTCCCTTTGATCCCTTTTCCTTAAATGTATAACCTGTCAGCCCATATCACATTTCTCGATCTAGACTGGAAGCAAGAACAATAGATGCTCCAGGGGGAATTTTCCATGGGAAGATGGCTATCAATAAGGCTACCTGGATTAGAACAGCCAGGTTGTCATTTGCTACATGGAACTGGAATCAAAGTCCCTGTCATTTAGAAAATACCAAATACCGAAAACAAGGAAACATCTACAAGAACTCAGAAAGAGATGGCATCAACCTTCTCTTTCTCTTTTGCATAGCTGTTGCGCTGCAGCTGGAGAGTGGAAACAGAAGCCAGGCACCCAGAGCACAACAGAGCAGACATAAAAAGCAGAGAAATGTGGAGCGAAGGAGTAACTAGAGAGGAAGACCATTCTCTCTCAGAAACAGGCCTGCAGATGCCTGGCAGATGGAGCAGATGTTGGCCCTGAGGAGCTGGCACCTCTAGCTTCCAGCTTGAACAGGTGTCTAGCACCTGGCAACTTATTCTTTGACTCCCAGTTGAAATCTGACCCAAGACTGGTCCCTAGCCTCTTACAGTTTCATGTGAGCTTCCCAGGTCTATCCGTCTTAAAAATGTCAACTCCTCCTGGTAACTGGCCAGTGATGGAGGCACATGGCTGGGAAAACATTAAGTCCTCCCAGAGCCCAGCAAACATATCATGTAACATAGTGTGTCAAAAGCCAAAGAACCTACTGTGGAGGTCTGACATTGCCTCCTTGGTTTGATAAAGGGAATTCATTGACTATTGACCTTATCACAGGGCCATAGAGTCTCTCCTATTTCCACAATCCTATTAAGCATCTAGGAAAGGAAAAATCAAAAAGAAAAAAACAGATGGGAGAAGAAGATTGGGATGTATGACTGAATGCCTTTGTCACAGGAGAGTCTAAGTGACAATCACCTAAGGACTCAGTTGTACTGGAAGTTTTATGGGTGCCACCATTTTTGTGATTGCCTTAACCAAGATGATGGTGAAGTTACATGATCATCGTCATCTTGATGATGTCACTAACCAAGATGGTGGCCAAGTCATGTAGTTTCCACCATGTTGTTGATACCTCTAGCCGGAATGGTAACAAAGCCACATGATTACTCTCTGCCAATTGTGAGCTCAGCTCCATGATAAATTGAGCCCATTCTCCCACAAGTATATAATTTCCTGTAGGATTCAGGTTTCTCACAGATTACATGTGGGCACTCATCCCCTTTCTCTGAAAAACAGAGCAAAACACCCGAGTTAGCATAGCATGGAGAGAGCAGGCAATGGTATAACTGGGCCAGGAGAAAATGTCGGTGGAGGGTAGGCCCCAAATAGCAAAGCAGAAAAATGGGAGGAGGAAGGAATTCCATGGTGTCCCAAGGAAGGCAAGTGCATGTGCATTGTAATTGGAAATATCAAATGATGTCACCTTGATCTTGTTTTGATATAGGTAACAAGACCTAGAAAAAGCATTCTGTGAAGAGAAGAGAGGGACTAAGAAACTGTGCCAAGACCAGTGGTGCTGTTGCTTTGGGACCGCATGGAGTAATGGAAAGAGAGTGTAACCTTGATCCTCACTTTGTTCTACCTGAGCCTGGGAACTGAGAACAGATCTGGGATCACCCACTGCCACCCCTGCTCCTTGTTAGCAAAAATTCACGTCCCTTAGAGACCAGCTTGTTACAAATAGTCACTCGTGATTTAAAACGCTACCCAGTTAGAAAAGCATCTGCCTGGGACCATGCTGTCCACACAGAACTGGTGCCCACCTGACCTTACGGTGGGACACATGGGCCTAACCACAGCAAACTCCTGTGTGTTTCCCTCCCTTCCAGCATACCTGACCCAAAGTCTCCCAGATTCCCTGAAGGAACAATGGTGGAGAGAGAGTCCCGTGCCCAGAAGAGGATGTGGGGAGTGTAACAGCATCACTTAGCTCCGAGCACAGGGCCACAGACATACAGAGGAAACAAACAAACCACCCCTAGGAAGCCTGGGAGAGAAGAGAAAAGAGGCTTTTTTTTTCTCCCAAGGAGGCCAAGGACCAGACAAATGGCTTATTGGGCCTCAAAACAAGACAGACTTAAAAGAGCTTGTCTAAGGTCCTGGAGTCCTGGTCACCTGTTGTGTGCTGAAGAGCTTCTGCAGTAGTCCCAAACGAATATGTTATGTTACCGGAATCAGGGTCCTCTTTTTAGGATTTAGTGTCATTAATGAAAGAATTTAAGAACAAACTCCAACAGAGGCTTGAGAACAATTGTGTTAGAGTTTCGAAGAAAGCCCCCGGGGCAGACAAGCTGTGAATCCTGATAGCTGCCCAGAGGAGGAGACAGAAAAAGAGCCCTGCTGCTTGAACTAAGCTGAGATGGGGTGGGGGTGAGGGGGCTAGGGGTGAAGGTAGCGGGTGGAGTGGGTCAGCCACGGGGCAGCAGGGGCAGAAGTTTTAGTGACAGAGTAAGGAAGCCCCAATTACCAGAAAAACATAGGCTCTGGCCAGGATCTGGAAGAAAGAGGCAAAAAAGAGAAAACAGGACAATTAAACCTTCAGAAAGGTGGCTGGAGCCAACAGAGACCCATGGTGGATTGAGAGCTAACATATGTCCAACACACTAAAAGCCTGAACAAAGTTTATTTAAAACTATTTCTCTGAGTGTCAGTCTCAAGGCACTCCAGCATTAAACATCAGGGATTTTCTCTTCTTTAATTCTGTTTTGATTTAATGTGCTATGCCATGTGTATGTTTGCCAGCATATGTGTATGTGTACACCTGGCACCTCCGGAGGCCGGAAGGTAGTAGTGGATCCCTTGGAACAGGAGTTACAGACAGCTGTGAGCCTCCGTGTGGGTGATGGGACCTGAACATGGGTCCTCTGTGAGTTCTCTGTGCCATTTCTCCAGCCCCAACTTTAGGGATATCTCAGTCAATGAAATCAGCTCAATAAGAAGCACAAAAGACCTCCACCTGAGCAGGCTTGAGTGAGTGACCTCTGTGGAACCAGGCCCAAGCCAACGACCTCCGAGTAGGTATGAGGGAGTGGCCTCCATGGGACCATTTGCAATATTAAAAATGCCAAATACTTTACCTACTGAGCTACCTTGCTGGCTCCAAATAAACCATGTTTAGTGGAGATACTTTAAAAAGGAGATACCCGATTAGCCAGAAGTGCCTAAAGAACTAGCCCACTCCATTGGTCATCAGGGAATTTGGTAGGCATCAGGAAAGAACCTATGTTACAATGTGGCTGGGCTACTATACCCAGCTATTTAAACACGGGTCTAAGTGCTATTGTGAGACTGTGTGAGACTGTAGGCCATAACCAGGAAGGAAGGAAGGAAGAGCCCTAGGTAATCTAAGTGGGTCTGTTAAATCAGTTGAAAGGACTTGGAAGAGCAGAGGATGTCTGGATGAAGATGGCATCCTGTGGATAGCAGCTCCCACCCTGTATCCTGAAGCCCTTGACCTGCCCTGCCCTTCCTGACTGCCTGCTCTCCACAGCTTTACTGGCCCTGGGAGCATGAAGATGAAGGCTGGGGAGGAGATCCCTGGCAGCCTCAGGAGGCCTGAGAGGAGACAGCTCTGTGTGAAGGTGGCTATATTGTCATCTTCTGACCTCCAGGAAAACAGGAAATATACATGCCACACACCATGGGGCTGCCCTGTGAATCTCCTGGGACATTAGACTTCCCAGGTTCTAAGGACAGGCTACACTGAGCCATTCGCAGGACAGGGACCATCAAAAGGGCTAGATGACCAGTGCCACACATTTGTTTTTATCTCACTTATACCCCCAGCTTCTGGAGTGACCCCTGGCTCACCAAAAGACAAGCGCTCACTTCCCCAGGAACTAGAACTTCATTTGGAGCTGGATGGTCCAGTAATTTACAATCCCAGAACTTCTGGGGGGGGGGAGTGCCTGGCATAATTGAGTAAAGCTGCCCTTCCCCTTTCTTTTCCACCTCCCACTGTAGCTATCCTAAACCTTATGTCTGTTTTGCTGTTTTTCTGTGACTGAGATCCAGAAAAAAACAAACAACAAACAAACACACACAAAAACATCAAATCCTACCTACACTTAATTCCCAAAGTACAACGTGTCTCTCTTCCCTGGGCACTAACCTACCTGCAGTCTAATTTCTGCATGATTATTTGTGTTTGTGTGGTTCCAGACACTTCCGGGAAGGCCTCCAGGTTTTTCTGCCCACTTCCGTCTTAACTTGGAAGCCCCCAGCAAACTGGGATTTTTCTCAGCACTTTACGTTATGAGGGGTGTGGTGGTTTGAAAGAAAAAGGCCACCAAAGGGAGTGGCACTGTTAGGAGGTGTGGCCTTGTTGGAGGAAGTGTGTCACTGTGGAGGCGGGCTTTGAGGTCTTATATATGCTCAAGTCATAGCCAGTGTTTCAGTCTACTTCCTGTTGCCTGCCGATCAACATGTAGTAGCTCCTTCTCCAGTACCATGTCTGCCTGCACGCTGCCATGCTCCCCACCATGATGATAATGAAGTAGACCTCTGAAAATGTAAGCCACCCCTCTTAAACACTTTTCTTTTATAAGAGTTGCCATGGTCATGATGTCCCTTCCCAGCAATAGAAACCCTACAACAAGTACTTTCCCTGAATCTGGCAAGTATATAACTGGAAACCTTTGCTTTTACCGCAAAGGTCAGGTACCTCATGCTCAGGTGGATTTTCCATGATAGACGAACATCCTGGCCAGCATTAACAGCCTAGAACCACCAAGGGGAGAAAGAATCTCAACTGAGTAGTTGTCTTTATCATGTTGGTCTGTGTACATGTTTACGATGGGTTCTCTTGATTATCAATGTATGTGGAAGACTCCAGCCCACTGTGGGTGGTACGTTCCTTAGGCATGTGGTCCTGTAAGAAAGTTTGCTAAGCATGAGCCTGTTGGTGAGCAAGCCAGCAAGCAGCATTCCTCCATGGTTCTTGATTCCAGGTTCCTGACATCTTTTAAACTTCTCCCGCCCCCCCCCCCAACCCCGTAATTGCTTTTGGTCAGAGTATTTATCACAGCAACAGAAAGGAAACTAAAATAATTATGGTAGGAATGTATAACAATTCCCCATCTTACCATTTTCCATTCTGTTTCATATTAAAATGAATCATCATTGTAAGTTCAAACTCCAGGTCACAGCAATGCAGGGAGTTAGGGTATGTCACTGTAGACAGAAGTTAACCATCTCGGTTTGTGAAAGGAGTGAGATCCCTTGGAGACCATCTATGATCAGGCCTTACACTCATTTGCTGCTATTTTAACTTTCTTCATTGAAAAGATTTTTGTATAAAACAAAATAAATATTGTCTCTAGATTTGCAGCTTTCATTGAAAATATTGGTAATTGTACTTGAAGTTTTTTAAAGATTTGTTTTATGTGTATGGGTGTTTTATTTGCATGTGTCTGTGTCTATATGTGTACTATATGCATGCCTGGTACCCATGGAGAATATCTGTAGAGTAATTCCACCATGCTGGAGATCTGTCTAAGTCTCAGTCTTATCCTGACGAGGACTCTAGAAACCACGGAACATGATGATTACAGTCAGTTTCTGTGTGCACTGACAGTTTCTACTTCTGTGTGTATGACAGCCTCAGTTAGAACATAAGCAGGAATAATGCATCTGTATTATAGCATGTCCAGACTCCGTTCTTGTTAGTTTCCCCTCAGGAATACGGTATAACACCTGTTTGCACAGCATTCACTTTGCATTAGGAATTGTGTCATCTAGAGGATTGTAAAGCTCCCTAGAGGAGGATGGGCACAGCATCCTGTGCAAATATCACATCGTGTCTTGTAAGGGACTTAAGAGGCTGCAGAAGTTTGTATCCACAAGGGCCTCGAACCACCATACTGAGAGACCACCTACAGTGGGAATTTGAAGGTTTAATGTGTCTCTAAATGGCCCTATTGACAACACAGACTTGCAAGTCCCACTCCCAAGGACACACAGTCAATACTCTGAGGTGCTGCCTGCCTTTCTGTATATTCACCACTTCCTCTGTCTTATGTAAGCTCTCATTCCCCTACGACTAGAGAAACTGAGGTTCTCTTTTAGAGTTCTTAGTCTCATAAATAAAAGAATCTAGAAATTGAATTAAAAAAAAAGAATCTCAAGAGAATTTTATTAGAGTTTAAAACAGGGTAGAGGTTAAGTTAAAATCCCAGCTGCTGCCAGGAGATGGGAAAAAAAAGTCACACCTTTTAGAATAGGTGTAGAATAGAAATAGAAACGGTTGGCTAAGAAAGGGAAAAACACTCCAAGAGTAGAAGTGGGCTAGTGAGCTGGGGAAAGAGTCCAAAAAGCAACCAGACATTCTTTATATAGTCATTTATTACCACACACACACACACTCACACATGCACACTCAGTTGCCCACGCGCACACACTCACATGCACAAGCATGCACACATGCGCGTGCACACACACACACCTTGCTGCCCCAGTTTGTAGTTTTGGACACTGTCCCATAGATACTCCATTCGTTAGGTGACACCAAGGGCCCTCAGTCTTTCACTGCAAACTGGCTTCTTTCACATGTTAATCTTGATTTAGTTTTCAAAAATCCTACTCTCCAGTGTTTTGGGGGTCAAAGAGGGCTGGAGGGACCAGGAGAGCTCCTGAGGAGGTCTTAGCCTGTTTCAAGACTTCTGTACCACACCAGCTCAAGGCTCAGGGAACATGGCAGACGAGGAGCAGAAAGACCATGAAAGCTGAAAGACAAGACGGGAGGAGGGCTATGAAGTACTGTATTCCGAAGCTGACGTGTCTGCTGTGCTTCATGACCTTCAGCCGCTGCGGTTCCTGTTCAAGTTCAAGTCAGCCCATGACACCCATCACCACCCTTACAGGCTGCAGTAACTGAACTAAATGGGTACCAAAAACCAAAGCCAAACAAACAAACAAACAAAAAAACATTACAGTGGGAGAAAGACACATTGAGGGGATGGGGGAAGTGAGGGTGAAGCCGGGAGTATGATCAAGACACATTGCACACGTGTGTGAAATTGCCAAAGAGTAAGTAAAATAGTCTAAAACTTAAAACAGGCATTAGAGAAACATGAAATGCAAATTATACATAGCATAAATAAAGAGGATTTATGAGAGAGGAAGAAGAGGTCTACAGGAAAGAAAAGAAAAGGTAATAAGATAAATGCACACTAAGAAAGCAGGAGGGACAATCGGGGAAATAAGAAGGGCCAGCAAGAGGAGGGAAGGAGGTATGGGGAGAGTAGAGTGGAGCGAATACAACCAAATTATAATGAGAGGTATATAAAAATATCATAATGAACTCTATTACATTGTATGCTGACTAAAGTTAATAATGAAAAAAGAAGTTGCCAGTTTCCAAACCATAGCATTTTGTGTTTCCAACACCAGTGTGACCTTTGCCCCACATCCCTTCCCAGACCTGGAGCTGCCGGTTTTGTTGACACTAGTCAATCTCGGGGGTGTGTCCTAGTGGCTCACTGAGAGGTCAGTCTGCACTTTAACCTTCTTCCTAGAATTTTGACTACTAATGACATGAGTGTTTGTCATGGGTAGATATCCCATCCCTTATACCATCCTCGACAAGATGTCTGTTCTTATAATATTCCCATTTGACAGTTGATTGTTGTTGTTGGCAGTGACATGGGATTTTATTCACTTGAAGAATGAACCCTTTCTCAGCCATGTGTGGATGCTTTATCTGTTTTGCAGCTTATCTATGCATCCTTTTTGCAACACTTCTTTTAAATAACTTAAGACTTTCAGAGAAACTGCAAAACCTGTCCAAAGAATTTCCAGTCTTTCTTCACAAACCATGAGTGTTAATATTCCACCATATCTCCTGTTTAACACATTATCTCTCTGCTTCTGTCTCTCATGTGTACACCTTGTAATCTTGTTTGCTTGTTTTTCGAGACAGACTCTCGCTATGTAGCCAAGGCTGGCTTTGAACTTATGGCAATCTGCCTCCCTCAGCCTCCCAAGCTCTGAGATTACACCTGTGCCACCACTAACAACTCAATATTTTTTTCTAAACCATTAGAGACTAAGTGGTAGAGACTAAATTCTTTTACCTGTGCTCCTTCGGTGAGTAAGTTTCCTCAGTAGCCTGTATACACAGAAAGCAATTGGCTCTTTTTCTAAAGTTTATTTTTAGAAACAGTCTGCGTGTGTACCTGTTTCTTGGTACCTGCACTATGTGAGTGCAGGTGCCGAGGAAAGCAGAAGAGGGTGTTAGATCCCTTGGGATTGGAGTGATGGGCAGCCATGCGTAGCATGATGGGAGTGCTGGGTACAGACCCAGGTCCTCCCCCAAAACAAGTGCTTTTAACCGCTGAGCTGTCTCTGCAGCCCCCTGGCTCTTATGTTTAGGTCTATCTAAAATCTATCACCATTTACTTCCCTTCATAAAACAGGGCTCGGCACTGACTTTTATCTATACATACCCTGTCATTTTAGAATCTTTTCTTAAAGATGAATTCCCTTTCCCAAATGATTTATGTTCTAGCTGGCTTCAGATTCTGTGACAAATACCACTATCAAAAGCAACTTGTGGAGGAAGAGGTTTATTTGGCTGACAGGTTACAATCCATCATCAGGGGAAGCCGAGGCACAAACTGAAGCAGGGATCATGGAGGGATGATACAGGCTTCCTTTCCTGGCTTGCTCAACTGCACATCTTACATAGTCCAGGCCCCCCTGCCCAGGGATGGCACCTCCCACAGTGGGCTGGGCCCACTCACCTTAATCAGCAGTCAAGAAAATGCCCCCACAGACATGCCCACAAGACCAATCTGAGGGAGACAGCTTCCCCGTGGACATTCTCTCTTCTCAGGTATGTGTCTAGGTTTATGTCAAATTTACAAAAAGCTGTCACCTTTTATCAAAGGACCTTTATCAAAATCAGCCAAACACGTACAAAAGGATCTTTTTCTAAAATTTCTGTTTTGCTTGCCTCTTTCTTTCTTTTAATTTTTCGAGACAGGGTTTCTCTGTGTAGCCCTGGCTATCCTGGACCCAATCTGTAGACACAGAGATCCACCTGCCTCCCGAGTGCTAGGATTAAGTGTGTGTGCCACCAAATCTCAAATAATTCCGGCTCCGATTTCATGCAAAACCTAATGTTCCTCCGACTAACCTGCTTCTTCAGACAATACCACACAGTTTGGATTATTGTAGTTTCATTCAAAGTCTTGAAATCAGACAGTATAACTCTTTCAGCTGTCTGCCCTTCAGATGGTTTTGTGTAATCTGTCTCCTTTGGTTTTGCATGACATTTGCAAATATAATTTCTTCGGAAACACTTGCTGAGCTTTTGACTGGGATTGCATGGAATCAGCAGGTCAGTGTGGAAGAAAGACATCGGTAAGTTTCTGAGACTTCACAATGCCCTCCGTGATATGCAACCATATTACATTCCATCCAGAGTAAGTGCCGGATTTATTCTTAGGTGCTTGGTCCTGTGAAAATGGTAGTTTTAAAGTTTCCCTTTTTATTGTTTATTGTTTGACTGTGTAGCACAACTGAGATTTATATATTAACTGTTTGGTGAAATTCCCTGACTGGTCCCATGGTTTTGGTATACTGCTCAGGTTCCCACATGCATGAGTGTGCTATCTGCCAAAAACCAGTTATCTTCTTGCCTCAGGGTCTTTGCTTTTTCTCTGTACTGTGCTTGTTAGGAATTTCAGTGCTAAGTTAAGCAGAGGTATTGAAAGGGAACACACCCGCCTTGCTTCTTATCTGGCCCCAAATCAAGCATGATTTTAACATCCTGAATGACTTTGATCAAGTTGAAGATGTTCCTTCTATTCTTAATTTTCTGAGTTTAGAAACACACACACACACACACACACACAAAGAAAGAGAGAGAGAGAGAGAGAGAGGTATTAAACTTTGTGAAATAAACTATACAACCAAAAATCCTAAACTGTCATTTAAGAAAAGGCTCCTGGGACTGAGAATGTGAGCAAAGAGGCCAAGACCATGATGGGGACAGCCAAGGAAACAGCTTACCTGAGCTAATAGGAGCTCGCCAACTCCAGCGGGATGGGGAAGGAACCAGCATAGGACCAAACTAGGCCCTCTGAGTGTGGGTGACAGTTGTATCACTGGGGCAGATTGCGGGACCACTGGCAGTGGAACCAGGATTTATTCCTACTGCTTGTACTGGATTTTTGGAACCCATTCTTTTTGGACGTATACCTTGCTCAGCCAGCCTAGATATAGTAGGGAGGGCCTTGGTCCTTCCTCAAAGCATTGTGCTAGACCTTGTTGACTCCCCATGGGAATCTTTATTCTCTCTAAGTAGTGAAAGGGGGTAGGGTGTGAGGAGGGGAAGTGTAGGAAATGGAGAAGGGAAGGGAGTAGGGACTGGGATTGGTATGTAAAATGAGAAAAGATAGTTTTTTAAATAAAAAGGATTACAAATTTAAAAAGAAAAGAAAAGAAAAGAGAAAAGAAAAGGCTCGTGGGCTGGAGAGAAGACTCATCAGCTGAAAGCATTTGCTGCTGTCATAGAAGACCCAGGTTCAGTTCCCAGCATCCACACAGCAGTTTACAGCCATCTGTACCTCCAGTTCCAAGGGATCCATCACCCTCCTCATGCTTCCAAGGGCTCTGCATGCATTGGTGTACTTCTACAAACTCCACTCACATACATAAAATAAATCTTTTTCTAAAGAAGAAAAACATAGTTTCTGACTCTTCTTTATGTTAAAAAAAAATGTTTTGGTCTATGAGTGTATATCACTTTGGGCCTGATCAAGAGACAGAAACTGCACCATGATTCAGATTAGTATAAAATTAACTATTTTTTTTAAATCACTGTAAGATATAAGAACCCTTCCTGGCACCCTAGAGCCAGAAGAAGTAGCCAAACAGACTTGGAACGGGACCTAACGAGGCTAACACAGACTTCAGTGCAAGGGGCAACATGGCAGCCCAATGGACCAAAGAGAAGTGAGATGCTTTGCACAGACGAGCCAGCGGGAGGCAGCAGTCAAGCAAGCCCCAGCCTGTGGCTAACCACCCAAGCAGGCAGACTAATGTCAGTGTGAACAGGACTCCTGCGGCTGTGGCCATTACGTTGGAAGGTTTGCAGTTCTAAAGGATCGGAAGACAAACCTGAGGAGGGGCCACCGGAAGCAGAGGGATTTGAGACTCTGGAGCAGGTAGGAGCTACAGCCTTCAATGTTTTCATTACAACAGTTGCAGAGAGGCAATGAAGTCGACAGTGGGGTTGAGCACCATCAAGGGACGGTGCCTTCTAGCCATGTGACCAGGACAGAGCACCACTGGTTATCCTTACTCCTGCTTTCTCACCAGTGATACCACCCCAGAAACATCAGGGGAGCCCCTTTCTACTCTGTGTCACTCCATTGTCCTCTACCAAGAAACTTCAACACCATAAGGAAGAAATTCTGCCCATTGCTGAGGGGTAGATATTGAAGGGAGAACCTGGAGCCAAGAGACAATAAACAGGTACCTGACAAAGTACAGTAAAGGAATGGGGTGTCCTTAGCCATCGAATAGTTGACCTTCCCAGAATTCTCTTCGAAGATTCTGAAATATAAGTGGATTATTATTATTATTATTATTATTATTATTATTTTATCTATGTAGGGAACCTGAATCTCACATTAAATTTAACTTTACTCAAATTTAAAGAAATTTCAAGTTAAGTTCTGTAGGCTTTATATCAAAATAAGTCCAGTTATATTAATATTAAGTTGTAAAAGGAATAAAAACAGAAAACCACCAAAGAAAGAGTAGGCATCATATAGTTAGTAGAATTACATATTTCTAGGCTTTCAGTGGGTGAACTAAAGAGGAGAAACATAAAATGTACTCAAATCTCAAGAACAATTACCAGGACTCAAGCAGATGGGACCAGGGTGATAGTTTCCTAAAAGAAACAACAACAACAAAAGCCTGCTAGTATGACATTAAAATCTCACAAAAATTGGACAGAAAAATATCAAAACTTGGATGTTAGTGGGAAAGGGACATGGATAGAAGATTCATAAAGTATTAACTAACAAAGAAGTAGACAAGAATATGCTCAACTTCTTCCTCTTATTGTGATGCAAATTACAACCATCACAGGTTAATTCATGCATTAAATTTGAAAATAAGATAGATGTTAGTATGAATATATGTATTTAAACTGGGGGTGACTCCACCGCTGAGAAATAAATAGAAGATGCTATGCCTGTCTCTAAGAGCTGTGGAGAGCGGTGGAAATAGGGAATAATGCAAACAAGTATTTAAAATAAACAGTAGTTGGGCTAGAAATGGCTCAACGGTTTAAGGGCTTTTCCTCTTGCAGGGACCAAAGTTCAAGCTGCCAGCACCTACTTCTGACAGACTATAAGCACCTATAACTCTAGCTCTAGGGAATCTGACACCTTCTTCTGGTCTCTACAGACACCCAAACACACACACACACACACACACACACACACACACAATTAAAATGAATTCTTAAAAATCAACCACTGTTTATGTTATTCTATTATGTGATTCATTTGAACATGGTCATAATAAATTGGTCAAATAAATTATTTGGCCATGGCTAACACTCACGGGAAGCTAATGTCACAAGATAGGCTATTTATCAAGGTATAAGAGAGAGTTAAATTTGAGTAGCAAAATATATTTATATCATTGTTGCTATCATCATGGATGACTATATGAAGAAGCATTAGAAGGTAGGACAGAACACGTATAACTGATTTATTACAGCAGTGTTTCCTTTTCGAGACAGGATTTCATTACGTAGCTCAGGCCTGCCTGGAAATCCTTTCGGAGCTCTCCTAGCCTCAGACTCAAAACCATGGTCCAGTAGGTGTGGTCAAAGCCTCTAGAGTGCTAGGATAATCTAGCTGCAAAGTTGATTTTTAAAGTTCCATGATTACTAACAATGCTGCTTGTGTGTGTGTGCTCGCACATGTACACACACACACGCACACACATATATATGTGTGTCTTGTATTGTTGAGACAGGGTCTTTCTCGCCATAGTCCTGACTGCCCTGGTACTCATTAAGCAGACCAGTCAGTCCTCGAACCCATAGAAATCCTCCTGCCTCTGCCTCCTAAGTGCTGAGGGTCCATGCTTGGTGTGGGAGGTCCTTCTGTCTATGTCTTGTTTTTATTGGTTAATGAATAAAGAACTGCTTTGAGCCTATAGCAAGAGGGACAGAACAGAACTAGGTGGGGAAAGCTAGGCTGTATGCTGGGAGAAAGAAGGCAGAGTCAGAGAGACTCCGTGGAGCTGCTGGCGATAGACGTGCTGAAACTTTGCTGGATAGGCCACGACCTCATGGTGATATACAGGTTAATAGAAACGGGTTAAATTAATATAAAAGAGTTATCCAATAAGAAGCTAGAGCTAATGGGCCAAGCAGTGATGTAATTAATACAGTTTCTGTGTAATCATTTCAGGTCTAAGCTAGCCGGGCAGCTGGGAATCAGCAAGAAGCCCTCCCTCCCACACGTGTCTAGCTATGCAACACGTCTTTTAAATGAAGCAATTGAAAAGAGAAGGATTCAGGTATGTTTACAAGAAAGCAGCTGGCCAGGATTAACTCTTTCCTGTGCAAGATGTCTGTGTTATGGCGGCCTTCTTTCTCACTAGTCTTCGGCAGCTCTTTGAAGAGACATTACAGTGCTTACATCGCACTGAGTAAGGCCGGCTAACTCTAATCTCTTCTTCTGACATTAGGGGCTGTCATTTGGACCCTCACATTTGTTCCTGTCACCTCATTTTTTGGTTTACACAGTCAGCTCATTATTGAAGGTACTCAGAAGGTTTGGCGTCTTGATGTATAACCTTTACTCACTGTATTTTATAGATGCCATGCTAACTGTACTTCCTCTACCTATTAAAATGCGCAGCCTAAGCCAGCTGTGGAGGTGCACGCCTATAGTCAGTCCCATTACTGTGCAGACCCTATCTCACACATGTAACAGGAGCTGGAGGAATGGCTCAGTGGATAAAACATTTGCTGTACAGGTGTGAAGACCTGAGTTCAAATCCCCGGAACGCAGGGAAAGCCAGGCATGGGAGCATGAGCCTCCAATGGCAGTGCTCCTGTGACGAGATGGGAGGCAAAGAAGGGAGAATGCTTTAGATGCTCACAGGCTTTTTCTAGTCATTCCCTCTCCCAGGTTATCTGCTCTTTCTTCTGGTCCAGCAGCCTAAGTTCTTCAGAGATAAATAGTGCTCCACCCATCAATGCCTAAGGGTCAATTGCATGCCCGGCCCTGTCCCAAGTGCTCTGTCTCACTCCATCAGATGTAGTCTATCGTCCATTCTGGAAGGTCTTCCCCCTGAGTCTGAGACACGGCATCCATTTCAGAAGCCAGCAGATGAGGGGGCTTTCATTGTGCAGGATGATGTCCGAAGTCACATCGTGGTAACCACTGCATTTTCCTAGACGGGGCTTTAAGATTCTTTTAGAGCGCTGCTATGTTTCCAGACAACAGAAGACACCCATCTGCTTCCCGTCTTTTCCCGGGGACAGACCAATGGAGAACAGCTTTAATTGGTAGCATAAATTGCTGGTATTAGAGGAAGTGAGTTGTTTCCTGATGGCAAAGACAGAACAATTGCTCATGATAACTGAGCTGCGTCAGAGGGTCTCTGGAATGCGAACTCTAAGCAAGCGCCTCGATGAAGCCAAGTCTTATAAATTTATGTTTTCTCGTGTGTTGAATTAGTTTCAAGCTCCTTCTTGGAGCACAAAGAGTAAAATAAGCACCCTCTGCTCCACCCTTTCATGGCTTTGATTTGAATTTTGTTCATTTGGTTGATTTTTGGGGGGGCGTGGTTTTGTTTTGTTCTTGTCATTTGTTTTCTGATATTTTGAGACACAATGACCAGGATTGTGTTAGAATTCAATATGCAGCACAGGCTGCCCTTGAGCTTCAGAGCCTCATGCCTTCTCCTGGGGTTATGGGCGTGTGCCTCCACACTGGGCTTCAGCTCTGTTTTGTTCATTTACATTTCTGCTTATTTTTTTTTAATCTGAATCTCTTGAATCTAAACAAGACTGAGGCTTCTTCAGAGGATTTTTTTTCTGGGCTTTGTTTTCCATTTTTATGACGTGTGTATGGGGGCACACATGTGAATACACTCATCTATTTTCCTCATTCCTAGTTTTCAAGAACTTCAATGCTTGGTTTGTTTTGTTTCTGTAGGGGGTGAGTTTAAGTCCTGTGCCATCTAATGACAGTCCTCATGAAAGGGAAATTTACTAAGTGTTTTCAGGAAATTTCATAGACGCTCCTTGGAGAAGTTCCAGCGTGCTGTTTGCTGTAGAATCTGATTTTGAGGATTTCTTTTTTTTTTTTTTTTTTTGGTTTTGTTTTATTTTGTTTTCCTTTTCCTTTGTGGTATATTGGCCATAAGAACATGAAACTCAGGAGATTGTCCAGTCCTTGTCAGATAAGAGGGCACAGCTTGCCCCTGGGACTCGTTGTGGGGCTTCAGAGCCACACATCACTACTGTAGTGATGGAGAGGTGGGATTCAATCTTTCCTCTTCCTCCTCCCTTCCTCCTTCTCTTCCCCTTCCTCCTCTTTTTCCCAGATAGTGGTTGAACCTAGGACCACGTGGCTAGGCAGGTGTTCTACCCTGTAGGTAACCCACTCTTAGCAGCATTGTCCTGTACACCTGCACCTACTGTATATAAATCAAATTTGGGGAACTGCAAAGTTTTATTGCAAAAACTCCTTATTTCCAAGGAGAGTTCCTACAAAGTAGGAAATACTAGCTGGGTTGGTGGGTTTAAAATTTTGGTTCTGCGAGTATAGAAGGAAACAAAATGGGCAAGAATATACATCTCAAGACAAACTTGTTTCTAAAAGCCTCATTAAGATTGTAGATGAGTGTAACACACACACACACACACACACACACACACATACACACACACACAGCACCTTAAACTTCAAGCTGCCACATCCTTGCTGTCCTTACTCAGTGCAGACTCCTGGAAGCCGTCTGTGGTGTCCACTAGAGATCAGGAGAAAATCCAAAGTTGACAGCTGGACTTTGCTTTCTTGCTTCCTGCCACCCCCTCGTCCTTTGGAGGAGAGCTAGATACAAGCGAGTGGCTTCGGCCCTTTTCGTTATTTCTTTTGAATCTCAAGCGCCTCAGCTGACTCTCCCAGTCAAAGGAGGCAACAGGTTACTCTGCCCACTGGCCCCACAGGAGGGTCCTGGAGCTGAGGAGCTGCTGCCCAAAGCCCAGAGCGAGCGAGGAGACGTTCTTCCAGATCCAGGCGCGCCGAGAAGCTCAAACTTTGACGGGGTAAGGACTTAGGAGGGGTTGAGCCGAAAGTTGCTGGGGCGTTTCTGGATTGCTGGGTTGAGCCGAAAGCACTGGGAACGCAGAGTCCGGGCTGGATCCAGAACCGGGCGCGAAGCCCATGGGTCGGCGTGGCGCTGTCCGCAGCCTACGGTGCTGAAACGTATCCCGTCCGGGTGGAAAAACAACTTCTTGAATGACTATGCAGACACAGGGGCACCCCACATCTCTCCAGTATGCTGGGAACAAAAGCAAGGATCCTCGGTGCTCCTCATAGCACCCCAGTTCCTGCAGACTCGCTGAGCTAAGCCCGCTAAGCCGTCAAGGAGCCAAGCAGAAATTACTGGGCTGACTCTATTGGGACAAGACTGGGTCCAACCGTGAGTTCTCCCGTGACACCTCCAGCCACACTGTACCCAGAGGCAGCATGTTCACTGCCACTAAATCAGGAAGGGGCTCAAGATCCACCTTGTCCCTCTTGCTCAACTGATTAGAGTCTCCCAGCGCCAGCACAGCGCTGGGGACACCCATTTGGGAGACTTGGAAGGAGTCACCCTGTGTGAGCCATCTCTTCCAAACCCTATTCAGCCTAGAAAGACAAAGAGACAGGTGAAATGAGGAACGGGTGGGGAATTCGTTTAAGAAAGAAGCATACTTTCTGGTGTTAATTATAAAATTATATCCGACTTAGCCATGGGGTCAGAGGGCTTAGGGGCTAGAGTACAAAGAAGGAGTGGTGGCCCCTGATCCCTTTGAAATCTGCTTATCAGCTAAGATGTCTGGTTCTGTCCTCAGGATTTTCTCAACCTCTCAGCACCTCCCCTTTTCTTCTACCCCTTCCTCCTAGCCCATCACTGGCACCCACTGGCTGGTGATCTGGACTGGGACTGGAGTGGGGGGCTAGGAAGTAGGGAGAGATGATCCAGTTTTCTTCCCCCATTACCTTCCTTTCTACTGTTGTTGGGACTTCAATCCTCAGACCTTCCTAGGCACAGCTTGCATCTTGAAAGAAGGGGACTTAAGCAGAGTGGTGTGGAGCCTGCAGCCTTGAGTAGCTGTTGGTGAAACTGAGCCTCCCAGGTGAGATCTATTTGCTCAGGATTCTCCCTGTAGCTCTGCCCCAGATAATTCCTCCCACAAAGTTAGACTGCCCCATGTGGGTGACCATCATCAATTCTTATTCTGGGCTGAGCCTGGAATCTGCTGCACCACCCCCAGTCCCTCAAAGCTTTAGACAGTGGTCCACCATCTGGGTTCGAATGTCATCCCATAGCAGGCAGCTCAGATCCATGCCAACATTCTCTGCAAGGCATCTTCTCCCACCACCATACAATATCGTTCATTAAAACAAACAGTAATATGGTTACCTGGTCATAGCGGTCACTAACTGCAGTGTGCTTTGGTTCCCTGCCTCCTAAACTGAGAATTCATGGGAAAGGGGCCCTGTAGAAAGTTGAAAAGGCATCAGAACAGGTGAGGGATATCATTCATATCATGAGCAAACCAATCTTTTATGCCAACATTCCAGCTGTAGGAAATTTGGTCTCCTCATTATTGTGATTTCTACTGAGTTTCAAGGGATCCCCTGGTGTAAGTGAAGATGGATGTGAAATCTGCTCTGCTTCACAGCAATGTCCAAACACACCCTTCCTCTTCTACCCCTTTTCTAAGACCCCTAAGGGGGTCTTCCATAGCCCTGGATGCCAGAACCAGGTGGTTGCTCTCTAATGGCTGACTGAATGGCACCAGATTTCAGTCACTTTCTCTGGGACCTTAGCCAGGACTTTGTGTGCCTCTTGCCTTTGGTGCACCTGCTCTTATGCCTTTTCTGTTCTCATTCACTGTCTGCTGGAGGATGTGCTTCTGGTTAAGAATGGGGTTGCTATGGTGACCGGTCTCAGGTTGCCATAGTACCCAGAGGTAAACAGTTGGAAGCTGCTCAGCCTCTTCTCTAGTTCTGGAAGATGGCTCTGACTGCCAGCTTCAGGCAGGAGTTGAAAGACAATAGCCAGATCCCAGCACCTTGCTCTGACCTACCCCCAGCATGCTGCCCACCTGAAACCCTCACTACCGCTCCCCCCACACACACACACACAAAGCCTCGAGGTTGAGATGGGTCAGTCTTTTTCTCTACACTGCTTCCCACATCCCACACTCTGGCACTGGGGACAGAGAATGGCTTTCCCTCTGGCTTCACTTTATTGTACCCCGATGACTCCTGACTATAAAGCAAAATTCAATGGGAGAAACAGAATTAAATTAATTAAGCAGGCCCAGTCTCTGCCCTGGGGGACTTCTCTGTAGTGTGAGAGAGACGAGGCTTAAAAGCACCTGTGAGTGGCCTGTTTTCTGGACTGGAGTGGACATAACAGCAGCCCTGAGGTTAAAGAGATGTTGAGGCCTGGCAGAAGGCCTCTCAGGAAAGGTCACCTTGAAACTAACTGCAAGTTTAAGTTGAAGAAGAGCAAAAGGACTCTCTTGGGCGGAAGTGCCAGCAGGAGCAAAGGTGTGCAACTGATCAGGACATGGCAGGCCTGGGAACACAAAGCTGCAGCATGGCAGTGGCTTAGCCTGCGGCTCATGCAGCAGCACCGATGCTCTGAGGCATTGGGATCCTGCACCATGGGCTCCTAAGAAGATAGAAATGATTAGAGCTATTTCGCAGAAAGACTCTGTAGCTACTCTTAGAGATTCATTCATTCATCTATCCCATACTCATTGAGAATCTTCCTATCTTAAGAACCAGACTCTAGTTCAGTGGTTCTCAACCTGTGGGTTGTGACCCCTTTGGCAAACCTCTATCTTCGAAAAAATATTTACGTTGTAATTCATAACAGTAGCAAAATTACAGTTCTGAAGTAGCAATGAAAATAATTTTTTGGTTGGGGGGTCACCATAACATGAGGAACTGTATTAAAGGGTTGCAGCATTCGAAAGGTTGAGAACCCCTGCTCTAGATGGATTTCATGAAAGAAATATTAAGAGTAGAAGGCATTCCAACAATCTCAGAGAGAGAAACGGGAGCCTACACCAAGGTGGGGCTCAGATGGAAGTGGCTAGGAAGCTGCCTCTGTTTGGTTCTCAACTATATGCCTACTGCCTGGATGAGCCCCTCGGAAGTGACTGGTTCCCAGGCCATTTTTGAATTAGTGGATGGTGAAGAAGACAGAAGGTATCTCTGGTTAGTTTATGGTAATTGAATGGACTTGGGAATGTTCCATCTGAGGCAGTAAGGAAGAGCAAGAATGAAGGCTCACAGTCATAGCTGAATGGCCAGCAGACTCTGAGTATCACCCAAGTATTAACCAAAACGCAGCTTGAGAGCATGCCTCAGAGTGTCTCAGAAGGACGCTGTGACAACAGAGAGTGTGCCCCCAGGAAATCTTTCTAGGGAAGCTCCACTCTTCACAGTGCCCATACGTACCCTGGGTGGCAGTGAACTCCCAAGGCTTCCTCTGCCATCTGCAGGGCTTGCATCTTTCACCTTGAACTACAATACTACAGTGGAGGGGTTAGTCAGCCACAAAATCCTCCTGTAGTTGCCTGGCAAAGTCATCCTTGGAGTTAAACCCTTTCACCGTAGTACAGTGCTTCTCACTCACGCCCTAGCTCTGCCTCAGGCTGACTGGGAACAAGTTATTTAACCATTCTGCATCTCTACTTCTGCAAACTTAAGTCATACTTTCATTTGGCTGTTGGGGGAGGGGAGGCTGTTCTTTCCTTCTCGCATGTAAGTTCTGGAAGTCAAACTCAGGACGTCAGACTTGGCAGCGATCATCTTTACTCACTGAGCCATCGCCCTGTCATGGAGTGGGTGCTTTGTAACAGTTCCTGAACACAGATAGAACAATGAATATTTTTAATCATGGCAAAGTATTGCTTTCATCGTCATGTTCCAAAAGTTAATTAGCAACAAATACCTTCTGCAGTTGCATGGTGATGTCATTGCTAGAGAAAACGTTCCTGGCCTGGCCTCACTAGCACAGGGTATGGGGCAGGTAGGAGAGTAGTTCTCAAGAGGGCAGCAATGGGTTAGCTGCAGGGATGTGGGCTCCCTGACTCTAGTAAGTGCTGAGGACCACTTTCATCCTCTTATAATGCCAAGGCTCTTATTACAAAGTCTTGTGAGTAGACTTGGACCTGAAGAATCCAGGGTCCTGGTAGCTCCACTCATCCCTGGAGAAGATCAAGGCACTTCCTAAGCATAAGACAGGCCTCTGCCTCCCCTGCTAACAACTGTAATTGGCAATCGTGTTCCCATTTCAAAACATTCTCTTTCATTCCCAGTCTCTTCCTGTTCCTGGAAACAGTACTCGGTTTTCCTCTTGGGCAGGAATTGAAGATTTGCAGTTGGCGTCTGGGAGCCTCTTGCTTGTGTTATGAAAATGCGTAGAGTTTAGAAGAGGGACAAACACACTCACCACCTCTTCCTCGAAAAACAACTGAACTCTCCCAATTCTGCTAATAGCAGACTCCCTCCATCTTCTTGCAGGGGCACCTTGGCTTCGGGTGTCTATACACTCTCTAGAGACATCCCCTCGCCTTCCACTTCAGCCCCCAACATACCTCAGTACACCCTGCTCAGTACACCTTATCTAAGACCTGAGGCGTTGTTTGGGACCCAGTGGGCAGGGAGAGCATGTTGTGATAGTGACTGGCCTCAGAAACTGCCCTTGGGTCTTGATAGTCAGGGATTAAACCCTGAAGTCTCACCGTCATGTTCATGCTGGCTAATGAGGTAGTCTGCTATCTGAATTTTTTTGCCCCAGATCACCAATCTGCAAAGTAAATAGCACTGATACTACCTCATAGGGCTATTGGTAGGATTAAATTAGTCAATTCAAATAAAACTTTATAGTGCAATGCCTAACATAATCCTCAAATTGACTTGGTGTTGGTGGTGGAGGAGGTGGTGGTGGTGGTAGCAGTGGTGGTGGAGGTAGTGGTATTGATTTATTAGTTACTTTTCTGCTGTAATAAAACACTACAGATAAAATCAACTCATAGAAGAAAGTCTATCCTAGTGAGAAGGCATGACAGCAACAGGCGCAGAAGCCAAAGCATGAAGTAGAGAGAAGCTAGAAGTAGGGCGAGCTCGCCCCAGTGAGCTGCCGACAAAGCTGGACCTCTCAAACCTCCTCAGGTGGTATAGAGGTTGTTGTCGGCCTGGATAGGTGACTAGGCCCGGCATTGATATGAGTCACAGTCATGCCAATAATTTTGTACCTTTCCTTTAATGCTAACCAAAGTCTTAGGGAACTGCCCTATTTTACCTAAAAACTGCATGATGGTGGTGGTGGCGGTGGTGGCAGCGATGGTGATGATGAATGTGTTATTTTGACACATGTCCCTGTAATTGTGTTCATATTTTGTTTTATGTATTGTGTTTATATCATGTTCTGCCAGTTAAACCTAGCAGATATTGTGAATTCTGCATTTTAGGGTATTTTAACTTTAGGTTGAGCATTCAACATTAGACACATACAATTCACATCTACACAGATTATCCACTTAAAGTAATGAACTTTTAGTGCATTGGCAATTTTGGAACCATCACAATATAATTTTAGGACTTTAAGCAGCACCCTCTCCATATACCATATACCTACTAACACCGCTCTTCTTTCTAACCTCCCCACCCTAACCCTAGGTTGTCAATCTTCTTTCTGTCTTCACGGACTTACATGCTCTGTGAGTTCCCATGAAATCACAGTCTTCCATGACTGCCTTTTTCCACTCAGCATAATGTCTATCCATGTTACAACATGTAGGTGGTCTATTTGGGGAGTGATTGAAGGAAGGGCAATAGGGGCCTTGGACAAAGACAAAAGGGAGGAGCAGAAAGCCAAGGCAGTGAACATTACCAAACAGATCACAGCTCAAGGCAGCAGGGCCTCTCTGAAGAGCCTACGGAGTGTTCTTCAGAATTCTCTTCCTGAGAGATGGAAGGCTACACACCCTCTGAGCCCTGATCCAATTAATCAAGTGTTGCCCAAGGGGAATAAAGTCTGTTAAGTGCCACTGGGTTTGTGCATATGCCAGAATAGCTAAAGTGTTTCAAGGAGGTGTTCCTCGAGGGAAGAAAATGGAAGGTGACTAGCCCACAGCACAACTGACGTATTGCCAGGCTACCCAGCATGATCTAGTTGCCATAGCAACAGTGAACCTGAAAGATGGGTAGGAAAGATGTGAAGTAGAGGATCATGGATGCCTATTGTTCAGGCCCCATTGGCACATTGCGAACTTAAAAACGCCTCAGCTCCCTACTTTGACAAATACTCTTTCATCTTGAGACTAAGCTTCAGACTGTGACAGCAGGGTTACATTTGATTCTTAGCCTCATCCATGACCTACCCTGTTCTCTTCCCAGCCCTGGGTCACGAAGGTCCTTAAACAAATGCATGGGGGTACTCTGCCCAAACTTCCACACTCCATTTCCCCATCCCTCTGAGACAACTGCCCCTTGGCCACAGGTGGACCTAAAGAAGTGCACATTAGAGCCATGCCCAGTAAGACCAGGGTCCTACTGTGCTTTCTGTTGCTCTGATAAAACATTCTGACCAAAAGCAACTTGAGGCAGAAAGGGTTTATTTGGCTTACATGTTCAGGTTACCGTCTAATACTGAGAGAAGTCAGAGCAGGAACTCAAGTAGGAAAATGAATGCAGGAACCAAAGCAGACCTATGAGAGAATGCTGTTTCCTGGCTAGTTCTAGGCCTCCATAACAGTCTGGATCAGAGTTCTAGGCCTCCAT